TTGACATTAGCCACCGCATTCATATGGCTGTGAACAGGAGATAAGCCATATTTTCATATACACCCTTGCTCGTCGCTCAGCTGATCCGATTCGCAAATGCTAGATATGTGTTAAGGCGCAAGTAAAATTCGAACGGTGGGCCGGTAGCAGATAATTTCTTTGGCAAGTATAAAATGTACATTGGGAAAGTGCGAAGGAGGCGCTAATCCCGACTTCGTTATGCTTGTTCTTCTGCAAAGCCAAATGAACCTGCACTATTCAGAACAGATGAGGAATCACGTGTTCCTTTCATACGATAGTGGAAATGATTGAGATCAGTGAGGAATATCACCTTGCTCTCTGTCTGGGATTAGTCGATTTCGAGAAGCCTTCGGACTCAGCTTGCATCCGAGTTGCGTTAGACGCATTAAGCAACAAGGGGATCGAGAAAACTTGCGCAGTCCTCAATATCACGATTACAAGAATGAGGTGGTTGGTATGGTGTTTTATGAAAGCAAAAGATTCAAAATAAAAAAGCGTCAGAGAGGGTGATGTAATAGGAAGCGGGTATTACAACGAAGCTATTCACAGCAGCCAAGGAAGAAGTTTTCAGGGCACTTCGGTGAAAATACCACAGTTAAGAAATACATGGACAGTGAATAAAAAATTTGCAGTTTGCTGACGATATTTTGATTCTCACGAGGTCCTCTGAAGAACTCGAGAGGAAATCCAAGCAGCAGATGCCGCTAGCCTCAAAGCAGGATTAGCAATCAACCTGTTCTCAAGTCATGTTTAACAAATCTGTGACTCAGCGACCAGTTGAAACTGATGGACTTTGACTAGTGGAGGTGCAAAGCAACTTTTCTTTGGAGCACTGATCACTGCAACGAAGAATCGACTCGCGAAATCAACAGAAAAGTATAAATGGCACAGAACACCTATAAAAGAGTGAAAAAATGCCAACTTTGGAAACTACCCCTGTGCTTGAAGCGGTAAGCGGTTGATCAGTGCGACCTTCCGACGCAAACACGCGAAACCTCGACCCTGACAATGAAAGCCGTTAGCAAACTACAGGCTGTACAGCGATGTCTGGCGTGAGTGAAAAAGTTGAGGTGGGAGAGGTTAGGCCACGTTGCAAGAAAACCGATCACCGTTGGTCAACACAGGCAGTTCGATCTCCCGATCGATGCACGATGAATTGAAACAGTTCACTGAATCAGGATGGATAAAAATTGTAGAGTATATAAGTTTTGGACAAGTCTTGATCCACACGTGGATTGAAAACGGTTGACGATGATAACGTCTGTGTGATGTATGTGCTATATGTGTGATGTTATTATGCCTATGTTGATGAAGTACCTCTTATTGTTTTCTACGGAATACTCTACATGCAGAATTAATTAGAAAAATTGGCGAATCTACGAGTCATACTGTCTTGCCGTTGAGGTTTAATTGACCATTTCACTTGCGCATCATTTTCTGCCTCACGACTTTGCTGCTGTCCAGGTTGAATCACGCTCAGTTCTATGTCTTGACTTTGGAGATTCTTGTATGTTTCGACTGCGGGTATCGGATTTGCACGTCGAAAACTGTGTAGTAAAGTGGTTCCTCTTACAGCAGTGCTGCGCTAATGAAACGCGAATGGCAGCGTTTACATTTGGCTGTAGTTTTTCCTCACTTCTGGTCTCCCATCGGAGAACTACTTAAGCAGGTGACGGCTTTTAAACGCTGCAATGCCGACGAATAAACCGAGTCATTGTATTGAGTTGAACAAGAGCATGTTCGAGTATTAACAATATTGCCGCTATTCGTAAACAAATACATAGACAATAATGAATAACCTGATTGTATCGAGTAGTCACCAAGAATGGCAACGTTCTGACAGCCACCGGTAAACCTATTTTTCAACCGCTGATGCCGGATGACAAAGATTGTTCGTATGTTAATAACGAGTCATGTATCTGGCAGTTACGATTTAATAATTAAAATTGTGCACACGATTTATTAGGCAATTCTGGAGGTGTAAACGAAACTTTTCCGGGGCAGTGCAATGAACAGAATATGAACTAACCATTCTTTAGATCGGTTGAATTTAATTTGCATTTAATTATCTGTGAAAATTCCTTTTGTCAAGCTTTTACCGCATATTCGCCTCAGGCCAACCCTTAAACATGGTATGTCAGCAATTTCAGGTGCCTTAAGAATAGCGCTGTTGCCATTTCATCGGAAGTCCCTTCAAAGATCCGCATTTCCTCCAAAAATTGCATTAGAGCCCATACTTCAAAAGGATAGTCTAATATTTCATAAACACGAGAAAAAGAACGCAAGAGCATTCTTACTACCAAACTGAAGTTAGTACCGTTTGGGTGCCTTTTCGAAAAACCGTTCGCTTGAATGCCTCAGTAAATGGAAGAAGCGGCAGCGATATAGGACGTTTGAGAACCTCAGTTGATACGCAAGCGCTTTAGACGTTCCAGTATTCAAGCATAATCTTCTCTGGTTTTGTCCTCACGGAAAGATTGCAACTACTGGAACTTCGGTCTTTCTTAAACGTCGTTCATGGTACCATTGCTGGTTCCCTTCTTCATAAAATTAATGATGAGGCGTTGAAATAATGATTGCCTCGCCACCAGCTGAAATTGCCTCATTTTTTTTAAAGCACTGTCAGCAGCAGCTATGAGGAATGCATTGTGTGCAGTCTTTTGTTTCCTTTTCAAACAATGGTAGTCATTTATCAGCCTCAGAGGGAAGCAAGGTGAGGGACACTGACCGAAGCTTACAGATTTTGAATTTGATGCCCACCGATTAAGCAACACATGGCAAATTGCGTTCTCAAGGAAATTCTTGGCAATTCAATGATTGCTCCTCCACCCGGATGGAACCCTGCACCTGCATGGTTCGAAACGGGCCATTTAGTTAACGTGTCATGGGGCCATAAGGGCTTTGTCCTTAGAGAACACTCATATAATTTGCCGTACTGTACTTCGCACGTCACCTATAACTGTCGAAACAATTTCGGACAGTCTCAAGCGTCTAGGTGATGTGCAAATTCTCTGATTGCGGCATAGTTCAAAGTTGTTTCGCTTTGC